GAATGCGGATTCAAGAATTGCCGGTTACGCCAAAACACATTGCTACACTCCGCAGCTTCAGGCAACAGTCAGCCTAGTACATCCAAAGCTCTAGTGAGTCTTCTTCCGGTAAAGAGATTGTTCGCCTTTCTGGACGACGGATCAACATCGACGATAATAGAAGCTGAGGTAGCTGAACTGCTTGCAGTAACAGGTCCAGAAGAACCACTTCATCTCTGCTGGACATGTGACGCTATGAGGGTCGAAGAAAAGTCGCAGGGGATCCAGTTGATGGTTTCCGTATGGAACGGTAAAACACCTCAAGTTACCGAGTCAGACGTTGAACAACACGGAAATCTGTCATGTACATCTACTCGGATGTCAGACCAAGGATCATCATTGCGGTCGATAAAGTGAAATTGATCAGCGTGTTGAAGTTACGAGCAGGAGGTTATGGAGGACTTATATCCACTAAAACTAGACTTGGTTGGAGCATCTATGGCCGGCATTCAGAATCGGGAGGTATAGAACACCTTAATTCCCACGAGGACCGGGAAAAACAAGTTCCAGATAACGCAACGCTGCACGACCTGAGGAAGCAATTCTTTAAAATACTGTGTCACTACGAAACCTAAATCGGAGGACAACAAAAGAGCTGCTGTTGTTCTCGAGAGAACAACTGTTCGCGTTCCAACAGGGTTTGAAGTCAGACTTCTGTGGAAGGAGGATGAACATAACCTTCCCGACTCCTATCTGCTTGCACTCCGTCGACTGAAATGCTTGGAAAAGCGTTTGCTGCGGAGCCCGGGCTTGCACGCCAAGGTGAAGGAGATTAGTTCAAAGCTACAACCCCTTGGAGTGGTTCGAAATCCCAAAAAGCCGAACAAGACTCGTTTAATTTGGGATGCGGCAGCTACAGTGGAGGGCTTGAGTTTCAACGAAAGGTCCGGATTTGATGGTTTCGCTCATCGCCGTTCTGATCGGATTCCGCGAGAGAAATGTAGCGATTGGGTGAGATCTGCGAGAGATGTTTCACCAAATCATGATTCGAGCAGCAGATAGACAGTTTTTGCCGTAAGTTTACGTCAAGGAGGAGTTCGCAGAAGAGTATCTACGAGCAACGAAGGTAATTACCTTGAAAGCGTGGACACTGTGGTAGAAGCGGTTGAGCAGATGGAGCAAGTGAAATACATCCATGCCAAAGGAGGATTTGAGATCCGGCAGTTCGTTTCGAATTCTAAGGAAGTTTTGCGAAATCTGGGAGTACTGCAGGAAGTTACAAACAAGAGTCTGAATCTGGATTCACTTGATGGAAAACGTGTGCCAGAATCTGACGCTTCCTAGGACCCGGAAGATATTCTGATTCACCAACAATACTCTCCTGGCTAAATTCAGATGCCTTTCGTTATTACCAGTACGTAGCATTTCATGTTGGTGAAATCCTGTTAACAACCAGAGTTAATGAGTCGAGATATGGTCCATCAAGGCTGAATGTGACTGACGACGCCACAAAATGCCAGGCTGGTCCGGACTTTAGTATGGAAAGTTGATGGTTCAACGGGCCCATTTTCCTTTGCCAACCAGCATCAAAATGGCCGATACAACCAGAACGTCAGAATACTACAGAAGAACAGGTGAAACAGTTATTTCTTAATCAAGAGGTAGTGAAAAATCCGATTATGGATGTAACCCGCTTCTGCAGTTGGTGCCGTCTACACCGAAGAGCTTCAGAAGAACTCGTTGATGCGGAAAATCTATTGTGGCGACAAGTGCAAGAGGAAGCGTTTCCTCGGGATTACAGCTGCTGAAGTCACGGATGTATAGAGATGGAGAGATCCGAGTCATCGAGTGTCGCCGTTCATCGATCAATCGGGGGTTATTCGAATAGGCAGCTGGAAGGGGGGGGGGGGTGCTCCATTCGCCCCATATGAAGCTAAGTACCCCATTATCTTACCGAAAACCCATTCGATAACATTCCTCCTTACTGACAGCTATCTTCGACGTCTGCTTCACGCCAACGATTTTATGTTCCGGCATTACGACGACGTGTAAGGAGAGTAGCAGCCGAATGTCAATGATGTAAGAACTCCAAAGCGGTTCCTGTAATTCCTCGCATGGCACCATTGACCCCCTTCTTGAAGCCGTTCACGTACATCGGGATCGACTACTTTGGGCCGATTATGATCAAGGTCGGACGAAGTCAAGTCAAGCGCTGTGTGGCCTTATTCACCTGCCTGAGCATCCGGGCAGTTAATCTGGAGGTAGTCCATAGTCTCTCAACACAATCCTGTATAATGGCATTTCGGCGATTCGTGGCACGGAGTGGAGCGTCACTAGAGGTGTACAGCGATAACGGCACCTGTTTCGTTGGAGCGAATCGACCACTGAAGATGGAAGAATGGACTGTGGGAACGGATGGTACGATCCGTAAAAACAACCATGTCATTGGGGACGGACTGCGACATCCGAACGAGGAAACTTTCGAAACCATTATTCTAGAAGCCGAAGCAGCTACATCGCCCTCGATTCGGCGGATCAAGAAGCACTTACCCGGAATCACTTCCTGTTGTATGGGACACAGGGAGTAAATCAACTAGCAGTGCAGTCAGTAGACTATCGTAGCGCACTGAGAGATAGTTGGAAGTTATCTCAAAGAATGATCGACGAATTCTGGCGCCGTTGGACTAGAGAATACGTTCCGGTACTGGCCAGGCGATCCAAGTGGTTCGAGCCCGTGGTTCGAAGTGGGTGATATAGTGATCGTTGTGGACGCTACTACGAGGAATCAGTGGCTTAGAGGGAGGATCACGGAGGTTCTCGTAGCTCCAGATGGGCAGGTCAGAAAGGCTAGGATTCGGACAGCGCAAGGGATTATCTTGCGACCGCCAACGAAGATAGTGGTCTTGGGCGTCTTCGGCAATCCCGGACCACACGGGGCGGGGAATGTTGCGGCAACCACTGGGTCGTCACCGGGCGATTGTGCGACCGGGTGCTCCCTCGACGTAGCTGAATGGCAGATCGTGTCAGGAGTGTCAACCTTTGCAATTCAGTATCAGAAGAGCAGTTTTTTCACTTAACCACGTTCAAAAATAGATACGAAGAATAATTAAACTAATTTGGCAGTAAATTATTAATTTCACTTTATTTGCTTTAGTTAGCTGTAGCACAGTGTAGCAGTAGTGTTTCAGATCAACATTTATACTACAGTTCTGGATAAAATGCACACTACGAAAAGTCATGTAAATGTTGGAGCCCAGAGACCGACACATGCAAGCGACCGTAATGACATAAGAATCGAGAAATTCAGTTCACTTTTCGTTGAGTTGCGCATGTTTCGGTTTCGAAACACATAATTCTACGATTACGTTCCATGATTTATGTCAATGATTAATTACGTCACGTGTACAAATAGTTAATGCTAAGTGCACATGTGAAATAAGTTTAATCACCATCTTGAACGTTCTTTGAGATATTGCTTAATCGTCGGTGAGAATGATAAATCGTGCCAATTGCAAGAACAAGTGGATGTTGAACAGCTGTTAGCTTGAGTGGCGAAATGAGAAATGGGGCTGTGTTTAGTAATCAACATATCATCTACTTACCATCAAGCGTCCTTATCTTCCGCACATCCGCTTATCTAATATGAGCTACAACATGTAACAACGAAATTTTGTTTATCTCCATATCATTAACTCCACAGAGGCACCCATTTCGCTATCTAATCTACCCAGCTGGTAACTTTTGCCATAACAATCTTCCGGGGAAGATTTTACAGTCAATTCAACTCATTTTCCCCCGACAACGCTACTCAGCGCTGTGGAAAAATACTCCCCGGAGCAATGGAAAAATAGCCAATTCGAGATGTCACCCAATCCGACGCCGAGCTGGCAAGAAGTGGGAAGGCGAGGCAATCAATTACTGCAATCATCTCAGTGGAAAATTTGTTTGGTTATCCTTGAAACGAGAAGTTTACAGGTGGGGAAGCGCAGGCACGGAAAAATGGAGAACTAGAAAGAGGAAAAGGACTTTTACTTAAGCGGAACAAAGTGACACCTAGATAAGTTTTTTTCTCACATTCATAAATTTCTTATCAGTTTATCGAACAATTTTGGACTCATGTAGTGTAAGCGATTCTCATGAGTAAATTTCTCTCACCTGTGGTCACACTTTCTTCAAAATTGGGAACTTGAGAGCTGTCCTGAAACACCCCGGAAAATTTCTCCCAGTGCACCTATTTTCCGGTAATTTTCCAGCAGCTTTCTCGTGAATCGAAAGCCATCAACATTTCCCCCGCCTCTTCTTTGGCTCACTTACTAGCCAAGCAAATCAAAGATTATGAATGCAGACAGTCTGGAGACAAAACAGAAGCCATACCGGACGCCCCCCGTTCGGAACCCTGCTGTCTGTTTTCTTGGCACAAATAGATTCTACCGGAACGAATTGCTTGACGAATCCAATCGTACAACAGCCGCATCCGATAAGTGCGCCAATATCAGAAGAGCTTCATCATGCAAGACGGAAATAGTTTCAAAAATCACGCAACCATTCCGTGATTTATTCGTGACCGACTGGTGGATGCGAAGCACCACTGAAAGTTCAAGTTCCAACTCCAATCCGATGGGATTTATTTCGAACCCGTGGTCGCTTGTTTGCATTTTTATCAGTTAATCCCTTTTCTGTGCGATTCCAGAAACGATAGGATTGGCTGCAGACGAACTTTGTGCTGCTATGAAAGGGAAAAAGCATTCAAATATGCGTTGTTCGTTTCTTCCGTTTCTTCAGTTCGAATTGTGTAGCTCACAAATCTTATAAACCATGAAGCATTAAAAGCTGAGAATTTGAACTCGTTTCACATCAGCTGGTATTTTCAGTTGACCTGAAAAGTTTAACCTTAAGATAAGCAAAAACAAAACCGACCGTATCTACTAAAAGCAAATAATGATTTTCTATGCAAACCAAAATAAAATAAAAAAGCCAAAATGAAACATGAGTTGAAGGTCAACACGTAAAGCAACACTTACCAACATGCGATAGGGAGGATAGTTCTGAATCTGAAATGATAAAAACAAAAACAAAAGAACATGTAAACACAAATGACAAAATAATGTATGCGTGGAAAGATGACAGGTGCTGGTGTAACGTCACAACAACAACAGAAAAAAAGCACACATAAAATAAGCCTGCAAATCCAAATCGAACCATTTTCATCGCTTTTCCCCATCCAATCGTTTGATGTTTGATCGCACTAATTGACCGTCAAGGGGCGGTGACGTAAATCGGGAATGTCAGCATAGATCGATCCAATCGATCTCCAGTTGTCGCCGCACCGCTGATGATGACAGTCACGGACCGGTCCACGTGAACATAACCTTAAAACGAAAACATCTGTCACTCCATGTGACGATACTAACTAGTGGAGAGCGACAGGGGTGTTATCATGTGTGGGGCTTCCCTCCATGTGATGAGATCCAAACGGATGGAACTAATTGAAGACACTCTAATCAAGCGGCGAGCACGCGTCCAATGGCTGATCCAACCACGCGGCTAATCTGCACCGTCTTGAATGACATTTTTATTATGTTTATAGTGGTCGCATTCCCTGATCCTAATCCCCACCCTCAGTCGGAAAGCCATAATCGCTGGAAATCCTCAAAACCAGTATTCCGTTTCGAAACCACAGGAATGTACTCCAGATAAGTTGTGCGACTACTTCAGTAGGAAAAGAAAGAGTAGTAAACCACTTGAAAATGGTGGAAGGATTAAAATCGTCTTGTACGTTGCAGCAATATATTATACCTACGTGTTAGAAGCAGCAATGTCAGCTACAGTTGGCATGATCAGAGCTCCTAACGGGAACGAATCAAACTGACTTACCTCTCGATTCAACGACATTCTGCCATCAGCCTACGATATGCGCATACCTCAATACCCTATTCATCCCGTGTGTATGCAACCCCCGATACAGTGCGATTTGTGATGTTCAGCGTGAGGTTAATCGAAGTTGCGTGCAACATCAACGGCCAGGGGAAAATCGCACACAATTACCTAAGCATGTCGGATGCCAAGCCGCACGGTCACGCAAATTGCATGGAAGTTTGGATACTCGGCATTTTGACACTGAAAACGAATCTAACTCAGAGAGTGAGTCACCTTTACTCATTCGTATGGGGAACGTAGGTCACTTTCGCATAAGTAACCTACGTTTTTAGAAATTTCTCCATACGAATGAGTAAAAGTGACTCACTCTCTGAGTAAGAATCGTTTTCAGTTTATTGGCAGGGTGGCTCCACAAGCTTTAATGGTATTTCTAGACCAACAATTGAAATAGGCGGAACAACCAAACGTTAACAATGGCTTTAAGCGCAAATTTCTCGAGAATCAAAACTCATCCACATAATCTAATACCAGCATCTGAAAGAGAAAACTTCTTTTATCGAATGGCATTGTTAGTTTGTGTGGGTGTGTTTTGATTCTCGAGTAATTTGTCTTTAAAGCCATTGTTTACGTTTGGTTGTTCCGCCAATGGCAATCTTCCATTTAATTCCACTTAATTAATTTTGGTATCTATGACCGATTTGTATTTCGACAACCATGTGCAGTCTTCATCAGTGTCATTCCCGCTAAAGGATTATCAAAATCTAGAATTTCAAGATCACTGGCATAAAAATAAAACTACTATGGGTAGAATCGGAGTCTACCTAACTAAAAAAAAACAAAGATTTAAGTAAAGTAAAGGCCCAAGCGCAATGACAGCGGAAGCGGAACGGCAGCGGCAGCAGAAAAGCCCGATCTGAGTAAGCCTACTTGTCGGATTGAAAACTAGTTAGAATCAAATCGACTTCGGTTAGGCATCTTGATGTCATTTGTGACAACTGTCAAACTTTCCGTTTCCGTTCCGCTTCCGCCCACATTGCGTTTGGACCTTAAAGGAGAAAAGTCTATACAACTCTCTAATGAGGAAAAATTCCCAAACGCATGGTAGTCATCATAATAAAGTACCCGCCACCAACCTGACTTCTACCAAACCCCAACCCGATGTTAAACCGACATAAAACCAAGATTGACCCGACATAAACCCAACATTGGATCGACATCAACCTTATATTTGCCTTGCCTTGTCGACATCGGTTCGACTTGTCTGTTCGGGACCATTATGCTGAGTTTCTTCCATACTCCACTGTCGTATACCAAATGATAGTGAGTGACTCACTTAACAGTGACGATGGGGTTCAAATGAGAAAGGAGCTCTTCAAATGATGGGCATGTGAGAATTCGTTTTCACGGAATTGGGTTGTTAAGGGGTATTGAGGTAAATACATATTCGTAATCTGCATTAAAAATGGAACCGAAAATTTCATTAATTTTAGAGCACTGTAATTATTTTAAATAAGTGCGATTACATTAGCAAAAATCACCAGCTTAGCGCCCCTCAGTGGGACTTTCTATGGGAGCGAGCTGTCAACTAAAAGATTTAGTGTCAAACATTAAAAATTTAAATCATGATTTATAAATCGAGATGAAAGTTTATGGGATCGATAAAAATATCTTTGTGTTCATAAAACGAAGCCCTTTCAGATGATGTTTAAAAACCGGTATGTTTTTCGAAATTAAACCACCCAATTGATGGTTGCATTTGTTCGTCTTCAATCGAATGATATGAAAATGAACAGCACTGCCTCTGAGACTGAAAAGTTCGTTAATCGACGAAAAGTACGTTTGATACGTATTTTTTGCCAATTTTTATCTTAGTGTGCCTCACGTGTGCGGCAGCTGTGCCGACAGTGCCGAGAGTGTCATCAGACTGAAGTTTTTGTTTGTATAATGGTATGTTTGGCAATCCGGTTAATTTGACAGTTCACATGCAGTGATTTCAGCTCCGTCACGAATCTCCCCACCTCAAATTGATCTACCAACGCCATCAACGTTCCATTTACTTCCTCCTTCAGGGTCTCGCTCTCCCCACTAATCACTAATCACATTCCGAATCGGTATTATGACCAATAGCAGTCCCTTCATGGTCATCTTTTCAATCAACGAACGATGCCACCCCTTCCCAACCTCGATCAAACTGTTCTGAAACACCAAAGCCTTCCACACCAGATCCTTGAACAGTTCGATCGTCTTGCGTGGAAGTTCTCCGATCTCGAAGTCTTCCGGTAGCGACTCCAGCACCATCCGGAAGAATTCCAGTATGACCCCCAGATTTCAGTTGTACTTGGCAACGGTCATCGCCTTGATGACCTCGCTTATCCTAATGGTTTGAAAATATGTGCGCTGTGAGGAATCCATACCCGGAAATTCACGGTTGCAGTTATGAAATCAAAAATAGGATTGTGTCAACAACAATGTAACATATTCACACATGCACAGAGCAGGCGCAGATATAGTACAGTATTGCCAGTAACTTTAAATATCTTGAAAATTTCTAATCATGGGTGCCAATGAAAGTGCTCAGGTGTGCCCATCTGTATTTTTAAGACACTGTGCGGAGTGACCAACCCCTTGAATCTGGTTTAGAATGCGGAGGACGCAGCAGCTGCTTGCCTTGGCGCAGCCTTTCAAGACTGTTTTGACAAGGAATATTGGTCTCCTGCGTAAGCTTACTTCGATCCGGCTGGTCAATTGTTCAAGCGTTGAGGACTACGTGGATGTGGATGATTTGTGGTTAGTCCTGGGTTAGTCGCGTTGCTACTGATGGGACTGCCAGAATATTACGAGCCGATGATCATGGGAACGAAATTGTCACCGGATTCGGTCAAAGCCAAAATTTTGCAAGACATCAAGCTCGAAAAGGGTTCCATTACGCGCAGCGACAATGGAGCACTGTACTCGCGAGGGACGAATCCAGACACAGCTAAAATCCAACATAAGAAGACAAAGGCAGAGAAGGTTGAGAAGACGTGCTTCAATTGTGGTAATATTGGCCATTCCGCTGCCAGATGTCCCGGAAAGATAAAGCAAAAGCCGAAAGGGCTCTGCAGCATTTTTGCGATGGGTGATGTCAAGAGCAAGGCATGGGCATATTGACTCGGGAGCGACGTACCACATGGCACAACCAAGCCAGAGGTTTGTTGTAGAGATGGCGATAGATCACGACGTTGGAACGGCAAACAATGGATCTATGAAGGCCGTGGCGAGAGGTACCGTGGTTCTGCAAGATGTTCATGATGTTCTGAAGATCCCAGACTTACCAACAAAACTGCTGTCCGTAAGTACAATGTGCAAACGAGGTTATAAAGTTATTTTCTCGGCAGACAAGTGCGAGGTGTTAGATAATGATGGTGCATTGATAATCCATTGAATCGAAGAAGGTGGACTGTACCGTGTAGTAGAATCGGAACGGTCATTTTTTACCAACGACATCGATTTGTGGCATCGAAGATTGGGCCACTTTAACTTTGAAGCAGCTCAAGGAACCGTACGAGGATGTCGATTTTTCAAACAAGCGGTCGGCAGATTGCGCTACGTATTCAGAAGGCAAACAAGCTCGACTACCGTTCCAAAGAAGTGAAACAAGAACATCAATGGTTCTAGAGCTTGACCATTGCGACCGGGCCGGTAGAGGTTCCGTCATTGGGTGGCAATCGTTATTTCATCACGTTTCTGGACGAAGCAAGCAAGCGAGTTGTTGTCAATTTCCTGTAAACAAAGAATCAAGCGTTTAAGGCGTTCACATCGTTTCAAGCAAAGGGTGAGCGACAGGCGGGTAAGAAAATCAAGATTCTTCGAGGAGAGGAATACCTAAGCGACAAATTTCTACGAACGTTGGAGGGCGATGGTATACGTCATTAGAAGACCTGTTCATATAGACCGGAGCAAAACGGTACGGCGGAAAGGATGAACCGCATTTTGGTGGAGAAGGCTCGCTGTCTACTAAACAATGCACGACTTAGGAAGGAATTGAAAGGCGGTGTTCATTGGATATTGCGAAGATACCAAGAGTTATCGTGTATATGATCCGGAGCGAAACGATAATCAGTCGGGATGTAATCGTGATCAGCGAAAGCATTCCTAAGTCCGTTGCAGCTTGCGAACATGATTCGAAGCCAGT